GGGGTCCGGGTCGAGGCGTGGTGCGGCGCGGCGTTCCGTGTAAGTTGCGTGTAGAAAAGCCGTTGCTCCAAGTTACCTCGCGCGCGTCTCAGGGCGTAGTCTTTTCTTTCATCTTTCATCTTTTATCTTTCACGCGGCTACGTATGGCGACGATGCGACGATGCGACGATCGCGGAATCACTCGGTTAATGCTTAGTTAAGTAATGGGCAGCGCGCGAACTCACGAGCTGAACAAATAATAGGCTACCACTCGATGTGATGACGATGGTGTCAAATCCTTCTTTTCTTCCTTGTCCTCTCACGTAACGGATTACCTTGGCCGTCTCGAGAGACGACTAATTCAACTCTATCCCGGAAACTCTACCCCGGAGGATGCATTCTATACTTACTCGAACCAAGTATACCCGCCGCGACGTATAGGTACCCGCTGAATACTCCATCGAAAGCGACCTTGGATTCAGCGAAGACCTTTGATCTCCTTCATCCCCGCGGTACACTCCACGATAAGCGCAAGATTCTGCGGAAGCTAGTTTATTCCAAGTAGCATCCACTTTTTAATTATTACATTAAAAAATGCGCAACTACGCAGAATCGAAAGTTCTACCGCGAGTAATATAATTGACATTTATTTCTTGACTGTGTTTACTCATAGGGGATCATCGTAATAATATGTTATACTTGTTTTCAGTGATATTTTTCTATGCAAATTAAAAGAATTGTGAAAATACAGCGAGTATTTCAAATAAATTTTTAAATATATCACACATTCTTTCACCGTCTGTTAATAATTGTGAAATTGTTTCCATTTTTACGCACAGTAAAAACTTGCTCATAAATTTTAATAAGTATCAGCGGCAATTACTACAAGTATATGTTAAACATACATGTATAAATATTAGAACACCATTAATTACATGCGATATTGCTAATGTTAGGGAATGCTCATTTATGTGAAAGCAGAGAAGCAGATAATTACAAATTCTAATGCAAGGTCATTGTGAGTATACGTATAGACGTATACAGGACCGCGTTCGATTTACCATTGGCATTTTATTCGACATACGAATCAATGTTAATTGCGTAGCACATATAATGTATCTTGATTTGTAGCTGTTTTTAAAGCTTAATTTTGATTGATAAGATTATATATAACCATTATATAAATTACACAATTTAAAACATATATCTTCAAAATTAACACAAACTACCTGCACATACAAAATTGAGAGACTTGTGAATTCCTATAAGACAAGAAAAATAATTGTGCTCTCTGATGTAAGCCTCACAGTCACTGTCTTCATTTTTGCGATAATTCTTATCTTTCATTCATATAAAATACGTGACAATGCGACCTTGACGCTGCATTTCGTTTTGAAATCTTCTGAAGTAATTTCGATCTTTTTTCTTCTCTCTCTTTCTCTCGCTCTCTCGCTCTCTCTCTCTCTCTCTCTCTCTCTCTCTCTCTCTCTGTATCTATCTATCTTTCTATCGCTTTCTATTTGTCTTCACTTCTCTCCGCGGAACCTCGTTGATCTGCACCAATAATCGCAATATCCGTACGCGCGATATGATGCGTATCACCATTCTATCAGTCCGCCTAGAAACTATAGCTGAAAAGCCGAGTGTCTGAAGTGAAATACAACTCGCGTGCTAACGCATTAATGTCCGGAATGGTTTGAATGGATTGCCATCATGAGTATGATGGCATTGATACTCTCGCACGAGGGATGTATTTGTAACATATTTTACCGACTTTTTGCGAGCTATTGCGCGAAAAGGTCAACAGTTTTTCGCGAGATATTGATTCTTTAGACATCTTAAAATTTTGATTTATTATAAACGTCGCAAAATTGCTAAAGTATCAAATTATTTACTATTTATATGACATAATATTTAATACTTGCTTTCAACAATATTAATGTGCCCAAAGTAAGGAATAAACATTTTTCAAATAAACATTTATATAGCGTCCGCTGTATATTTGCTCTAGCCAACACTTGGGTAAGTGCTATTGCTAATCGCGCGATTTGTCTGGTTCTTCATGAACTCGATGCACAACAACGCGGCTCACGTCAGCCGGTAGTATCTACGGCATATGCACCACTTTCGAACTTTTGACCTGAAAACGAAGAGTACAGTCGCATGGGGAGCACGTAGCCGTAAGTTAGCACGAGGTCTGTGGTAGAGAGACGCCACTGAATCTCGCTCAAAGTTCAGAGGTACTCGCGCGACCCCCAGGGCAAAGGTATCAAGCAAATAAGTATCTGTATGCACCTGAAATTCAACCGAGATCTCAGCAAGCCTCGCCACCGATTTCTTCATTGTCGAATGCCTCACTGTAAAATTGCGCTTAAATCTATGATAAATTTAAACTAATAATTACACATATTACTTCTTCCAAATTAATAGAAGCATTTAAAAAGTAATTTTTAAGAGGCTTAAAGATTATGTGATTGTTAAACTATAGCATTGATCAGGCAATAATTGTAACTATCGAGAATATTGAATTTATTTTACCTCCAAACGTAAAATAATTTGTAACAAGAAGAAGCCAGATTTTTAATTTGATTCTAAATTTAAAACGTTTCTATTCCAAATCATAGGAATGACACTGATTATTCTTATTAAACTACACTCTTTACAATTAACATACAGCACATCGCGCAGCATTAATTATCTAAATCGCCTCTGACAAAATAGGTTGCTTTTTAATTAGCTGTGGTCATTGATATGCACCTGACAGCGTTAAGAACATTCGCCGATACAAGAGGACAAGACAATGGCTGGCGACCCTGTTTCGTGACGTGCGCTCGAAAATGCGCATCACGTGCGCCCGGACGCGAAGTCTGTGGCTACTAGCGCATCTGAAGGTTTGGAGGTATTAATAAGATCACCGAAAGAAAGCCAAAAATGAAACAGCGTCGATGCTCTTTTTTGCGTCAAGTCATTCCTTTCATTACTATTTAAAACGATGGATAGTTAAGATAATATAAAATAGCTTCATATAATTATCACGAATACGAAAGAGACGGAAATCTTCTGGGCCGATTTCACAGTCTCCGATTAACTTGATTCTCTGATCAAACTCACTCTTCATCTCTTTCTAATTGTCTCCCCGTAGAAACAAGTTAATCGGAGAATCGGCCCTCAAATGATTATACATATAAGCTCGCTCTATCGTATGCACGTTCCATTTTCTAATTATATATCTTTTTTTTAATTACACTATTTACCAAGCATTTCCATAAACAGCAGAAAATTCGCGAAAAACATTATGCCACGTTAAACAAGTTATGCTTAAAACTGGACTCGAATTCTTCTGGAAACTTACATGAGAAACGTCCGCAGCATCTCGCCATAGAGCATTCTACTCTCAGAAATGACGGTAGCAAAGACTAGGTAGCAAAGACTGGGTAGCAAAGAGAGAAGTACTACCTTTTAGGGCAGTTAAATGCACAACGCTTCAACCCGTATTTCGTTTTCTCGTCACTTCTCGATCCGTCTGTGGCCTCGTCTCAGATCAAATCGAATCAACCGTCGCGTTCTGCCCTGCCTCTCGCACGACGCGAGACGAGCGCACTTATGTGGACGATCCCGCGATCCCGATTCTTCTTAGAACGCGCGAACTGGCAAGGGACCGCATCACGAGTTTTTAGCGCGATCATGGAAACGGAAACTGTTCCTTTTCTCTTTAGTTGTCAAGACACTTATCGCGAATAGCAACAAGCTGACCAAGCTGACCAAACTGAGTTAGCTAATAATGTTGTAATGCGTGATTATATCTAATGTGTAATTGAAGAAAAAGGAAAGCATAGTAAAAAAATACCAAATAAAGAAAAGGATGGAAAAGAATAAAAAAAAAAGAATGAAGATGTGAGAAAGATGAAATAATTATGATAAACGTGAGAAGGAAAGTGAGAAGTGGAAGTGGACAATTGGCTTATAAAATAATCCGAATTCGGAAAGACCAACGATAAAAAATAACATTAGTTGGTCAACTAACGTTAATAATAGTTTTGATTCGATAAATTTTAACTGCTCTTTATCTAATTTTCGAGGATATACTTGATGCCGATCGCGATAAACTACAATTGATCAGCAAGAAGCAACATGAATTCGTGAAAATTCTAATCTTTGATGGATGGTGGATGATGGTTGAATGGTTTACATTGAACGGTTATCAGGACATCTGTGCTTGTGTGCGGAGCAACATGAGCTTCAAAGTTGAAACGTGATACAATGTGTTGAAGGAAGCTTTTTCTGGAATCTAGGACGCAAGCTTACTAAAATTTGTAAAGGATTATAAGGCAACAGGATCTTTCCGTCGTGTCTCTGACATGCACTCACACGTGATCTAATATCACACATTCGCGAAGGCACGCCGGCCGTTGAGCGAGGAAGATTCTCCAGAACGGAGCTGCGATTGATCGATTTTGAAGGGATCCGAAGAATGTCGACGAAACGACAGTGGCGTCGATGGCAGTGGCGTAGTTTTCGGTAAATGTGTCGAAGCTCGCGAAAGACGCGTTGGAGCAATGTCGTTGCCCTCTTCTGCTCGGTCTGCTCGGCTGTCCGGCTCCACCACCGCCATCGTCATCGCTATCGCTGCTACCACTTGCCGTTGCCGCCACCGTTGTCCAGTTCTTCCTCTTTCTCTGTCTTGAACGTCGCTTTTTCGCTCTCTCTTTCCCCTCTCTTTCTCTCTCTCTCTCTCTCTCTCTCTCTCTCTCTCTTTCTCTCTCTTTCTCTTTCTCTTTCTCTCGCGATACTGCCACCGTCGCCACTACCATCACCGTCGCTGCCGCCGCCGTCGCTACCTCTGCCGTCGCTACATCCGCCGCTACAGGTACGTACTATCCCTGTCCCCTCCGCGCGAGACCATCCTCTTATTCCCACTCCTGCGGAGCACCTGTCGTACAAGGGAGTTGGGCGGGTTAGGGGCGCTCGACGGAGGTAAGTAGACGGTAGGTTATCAGTCGGCGGAACATCTTCGTCGCGAACGGAAACGCGAGCTCCCTGGTGTGGTAACGCGCGTATAGGGAAGAAATCAAGAAACAAGAATCGGGTGTGGAAACATCAATATCTATCCCAGTTATATCTCTACTGCAAATCGCGGTTCCATTTTTATTTGCACGAAAAAGCAAAGTAGTTTAAAGAAAAAGATCGCTAGTGTTTTCTAGCTACTTGAAGAAACTAAAAGAATACCGAGAGCCTCAACATCCGTGTTAAGACGCATTTCTGCGATAAGACACAGACACATTACGCGTCCACGACCGGTAAGTTGCAGTCGCACGATGACCGCGACCACGACCGCGCCAAGGTAAACGCTAGCAAGGAGGTCACGGCGCCGGTGAATTGTGTTAAGTGCGCCAAGCGACTTATTCAACGAGGTCTGCGAGGGATCTCGCCGTTAGTAGTGTACACGTCGGTGAACGACATACATCCGGCGACATAGCATCTTAACAATCGATATTGACGCAGCAAAAGAAACAATATTTAAACAAATACTACCTCCGACTAGTAAAGTTTCCGGATTAAGACGAAAGCGAAATAATAAGAGAATAAGAAAACTCTGCCGGGATGCTGCACGAGGAGCTATTGAGCTCCAGCTAACACGTGGCGATTACGCGCACACTCCACAGTTGCAAGGTGAGTCTTGCAACTATTGCAAACTCTCTGTTACTATTACTACTTGATTTATCTATCTTCTCTTTATGTTATTTTTCTGTAGAATATTTGATAGAAATTGTCTTTACGTGCGTATTGTTATATTTTCTTAGATTAAGTATAAAATTAAAAAATGACGTTAATGAGAGATAATAATAATTAGTCCCTGAAATAAATTTATAATGCATTACACGAGTATTATATAATTATTTGATATAACGTCATTAAATGATGCACAGTACAGATATTGTTTTTCATGTGATATAGACGCGGTCTTTCAATGAATGTTAATCGAGTCTGATTAGTGCACGAAAAACATTACAATGCCTTCCAGCTATCTAAAAATTAATCGGGATTAATGCTGCTAATTTGTATCAAATGTGCAAGTAGCCTTAATATCATAAAGTGTATTCCTTTTGATATAAACGAGCAGGCATCGGAGAAACGAATTATCTGCGGTCCACACTTGCGTGATCTGCTTACCGATGTAAACGCGTGCGAATAGAATGACCGCGCCGAAACAACCGGGCGGATAAGGTTCTTGGATGAGGAAATTGAGAGGGGAGAGAATGTGGTCGGTCGACAGGGGGGCAAGGAGGCCTCACTAAATTTTCGTGCCGCCGCGCTGGTCCGGACGCAATGTGCCTGAGATCCCCACGTGCTTTTAAACCGCCCCTCTCTCTCTCTCTCTCTCTCACACACACACACACACACACACACCACACACACACACACACACGCGCGCGCGCGCGCACATCTCTTATCTCTTTTTAATTTATCCCTCTTTTACTTCATCTCCTTATGTTCGTTCATCTTTACCTCACTCTTTCGTTGGCCGCTTTTCTCTTCATTGCTTCTTTCTCTTGCACATATAGATAAAGACTTCGTTCCAGCGGATCATCGACTTCATTCTCCTCTCTACGCTCCTTTCTTTTTCCCTTTCTCTCTCTCTCTCTCTCTCTCTCTCTCTCTCTCTCTCTCTCTCTCTCTCTCTCTCTCTCTTCGCTGCCTCTACTTTCATCGGTCTTTATCCCTCTCCAGCCTCTTTGGAGTCAAACTGATCAGCCAACCGCTCTTTGCGAAGCCCCAAGCACCAAGCCTCCAGACGGCCAAGAGTTAGCGCACGCATTCCGGTTAGCGGTCCGCCAAACGCATTGCCGTTACTGCTTCTTCAGCTACCGCCGTTGTTGCCCTCGTGTCTGTCGCCGTCGCGTCGTCTCACCATGAATGTCGGTCAACCCTTACTTTCTCGATGTAGAAGAAAATAGATCCAGTTGGTTGTATACATAGATCTCTGCACCTTTCATGATGAGAATCAACAATTAAAGAAGATTAGATTCGCAATGAATCAATTTTTTTACGAATAGAATGAGATAGCACATTAATTTAATCATTTCCTTCTATAATATACTTGTATGAAGTAACATATTTAAGTCACGATTTCTCCTAAATTACGAACAAATTAGATGTCACCTTCTATCGCGAAATCAATGGATTTGTGTGACTTGTTTTGTGAACGCGTCTAATATGCTATTATGCGAATTCGCCCTGTGATCGAACACTACCGAGATATCACTACCGGCGCGCAAGTATACGTGAACCGGATCCGAATAAGCTGGCATGCATACGCATGTATCACGGATACGATTTGTGTGAGACAGAATTTCCGTGAATCACTTGATTGCGTGTATATACACGGCACCATTCGAAATTGTGTCAGATATTTTTGCATGCTATTCGCTATTCGTGTTTAAGAATAATGTCGTTCCGAAACAAATTAGTAGCAGATTGCACGCGTACGATCTGATTTATATGGCACGTACGATATTTCATATGGCACATAATTTGACTTTGTCACATGCTTGGGTATTGTAAATTATAGATAAAAGATTAAAACGTATCATAAAAGATACAAAAAAAATGGAAGGATTAGTACAACAATCTTTTGAAACCACAGCATCAATGTTAGGTATGTAGGCCAAGATTTTTATTTCTGGAATGGACTGCATTTATGTGCATACCAGCATCGCCAAATTCACGGTTCGCACGGCGGGCGTTCTTTTCGAAAATTTGCATCGAAATAAGTCGCCGAACGTCCGTTTGCCCTCTCCGCCCATCGTTGGCGAGCAAAAGGAGTACACTAACGGTTTTCGAACAGGTGTCATCTCTTTTTTCCGCGCTTCATGAAATATTCACCAGGCATACGATTACGTTAGTACGGGCCGCACTAATCCATCCATCGACGACGTCGGGGCATTCAACTTCGCCGCATACGACTTGGAATCGCGCCCGACATAACTTTGCATTCGTTTGCCAATGTAATTCCTTGGCGAATTAACATTACCGTGTCACGACTTTATCTATTTATACGTTGAGACACCGGTACGTACCGTGGGAATAACGATTGTTTATATTTCCCCGATAATACCGACAACTATCACTCATTTACGAATGCTTAATTCAGAAAGACTTGTTTTATAAAAATTATGATCCTCTATTGTAACTAGAGAATCAATAATCTTTCGTAAGGGTAACAAAATATAAGTGTTAATTGTAATTTTAATTAATTCCCTATCGATGAGAAGATGCAACTATCCCTCGCAACCGTGATATACTATGAGATATAATCGGCAAAAGTCATCCATCAGCAACATACCAGAGCGAAAGAGAGACAGAAAGATTTATTTACAAGTGGTCATCGATAAAGCAATAATAACGCAGGTCGAAGATTAGGAAGATTTGCCTGATTTTTATTTATAACAAATAAAAAATGCTTAACAATGTCGTTGTGTCATTCAAAGAAATAATTAAATCGCTTTCTTTTATATTTACGTTTACGATAGGAAGTGCTCGTGGAAGTGCGTTTATCGCCGAGGTGTCGATAACTATACAGCTGCCAACAAGCACAGTTCTTACCCTGTATTTATCCATAATCGCATCGCGTGTGCACACGCGTGACGTGTCGTGCACACGCGTGCGTGTACACATTCTCCTACACGCGCTATTTCGCATCGAGCAGACATTCCGCACGCGATAATTGTCCCCAGTCGTTTCCGTCGCAACGACGATCATTGAGTCGCATTAACCGTTAATGTTAACATAACCGATCTCGATCGCGGTGAATGGATCGTAAAGTCAATTACGCGCGCGGTTACGACTCGTGGACCGAATCCCAGCTCCGCGCGCCGCGCCGCGCCGCGCCGCGCCGCATCGGCAAGCTCGTTTCGCGCCCGCATCCTTTTCGATTTGCCGAGTAATAAATTCCCGAGCACGTATGTACAACGCACAACGCACACAGCACTCACAGCAGCGAGGAAGAAAGGGCTGCGATTAAATCCGAAATAATATCCGAAGGGGTTATGACGCGCTCGAGCGAAACGGTAAATTTCAACGTATATCTAGTGTCACTGGCCGATCAATTCGCGGTTAATTATTGCGTTTATATTTCGTAATAACTTTAATTGTGCCGTGCGCGCGAGCACGATACGATAGATACGAGATTTCTGTATTGTATCGTATACGTGTGTAATTTTATATGGATGAACTGTAGATGAGGTATAGGTATAACGGTACGAAACATAATCGAATCATATAAGAAATGAATTAATGATGCAATCTACTCTTTCATCAAATCGATACCGTGATACTTTCCTTTCTATTCTATTTTAACGAGAGACGCGATGTATTAATATATATACATATATACGCAGGATACATTATCTATGAAATGAACGTACATATGTATAGATGTAAGATTGTTGCAACATCAGCGTGATGACGCTTGCGCTTATTATAATTCTTATAATGTAGTTTATCCAGATGAATTGTACCCCCCATTCTCCATTGTGTTCTACGATACCATCAAATCAAACACAAAAAAGGAAAGTGATGATTTTATACATCATATACATGCCATGAGAGTTAATACTTTGGAAGGTATACTCTGCAAACATTTCAAAGATAAATTAGACAATTCTTAAAAACGTAGTATGGGAGCTTTCCAGCAAGCGACACAAGTCGACATAAGTAGGTATCGTTTTATCTTTGTTACTCATTACCAAAAAAGAAAGATTATATTTGTTTATATTTAACACATTTATTTTTTTTAGAACAAATAATTGGGTGATAAAAAGAATATCTATGCGTTCAATATGCCGCTTGATGAATAGAAAAAAGAAAGTTTATTAAAGAGAGATAACGCGATTTCCGATAAAGAATTACTTCCGCGATAATATCATGTCGTACGGAAGTATCATGTAAATAGTACATATATTAGGTTGGAAATTTGACAGTCACATTTACCGTATATTACTTATTAATACTAGTCATTACCTCCGGCACTAAGCGGTACGTTTGTCGGTACGCAGTGCACGATCGTGTTCCGGAGAATTTATAAAGCTTATCGCTGTACGGTTGTCGAGTATTAAACGGCCAGAAGAAGAAGAGCCGAACCTGGTAACGCTATCTTGACCCTGTTCGCAGCGATGAATGTTTCGCCAAGTTCTTTTCGAACATGAATCTGCAATTAACACACACTCTTACACATTTCGCTTCGATCATCATTCCATATCACGTTTAACGTTTAACAAATATCGAATACGAAGATCGCAATCGATCCAAAATTATGGTCTTATAAAAGTACTCGATTTATGAGTTTATATGAATTTAATTTAATATTTAATGTATGAACTTTTATAATTATTATCTTATACATACGTTTGACAATGAGAATATGATAGTGTAATATTGCATACCTTTTTATAGTCGTATACAGTTTACCGTGTCAAAGTTCGCCATTTCCGCTTTACCGTAAGATTTAATGGTACTAAATCCAAAATCTCAAAAAATGATACGGCGCCGGCGCAGCGCTCAGACAATGAAAAAATTTTACGAGCGATACCTTCGCGTTCACGGATCGAGGATAATTCTAAATAAATTGCGGATGTCGTCCGTCCGAATGGAAGAATGGAATCACGACTGCC